CGCAGCAGCCGGGACAGCATGGCGGCTCTCCCGCGTGACGTCACCGTGCGTCACTGTGCGTCACCGCTCCGCCCCGCCGCGGGGCATTGTGGGTGCGGGGAGGCGCCATGGGGGTGGTTGTAGAGCTTATAGGATGGCTGCAGGGGGAGCTGTGAGAAACTATGAAGGGGTTTTGGGGTGGCTATCGGGGTCGGCGGGAGCTACAGGATGCGTATGGGGGGGGTATAGGGAGAGATGGATGGGTTTGGGGGGACCTATAGGGCTTCAGGGAGCCTGGAGGGAAACGTGTAGGGGAGATATGGTGGTCTAAAGGAAGGCTATGGGGGACCTGGGGGAGTTATGGAGATCCAGAGGGCCGATGTAGGAACTATAGGGGTACGAGAAAACTATAGGCTGCATTGGATGGGTATGGGGTAGGCTATAGGGGGAGATAGAGGGTTTCTGGGGGACCTGTGGGTCTTCAAGGAGCTTATAGGGGAAGGTATAGGGGAAATAGGGGAGATGTAGTGGTCTGAGCGAAGCTATAGGATGGCTATGGGGGTCTTGGGATAGTTATGGGGATCTAGGAAGCCTATATGGGTGCTAGGGGGGTGCTGAGGGAAGCTATAGGGTCCATAGAATGGGTACGGGGGGGGCTTAAGGGGAGATAGAGGGGTTTGGGGGGGATAAAGGGGGTCTGGGGGGGGATAGGGGGATCTAGGAACCCTATATGGGTGCTAGGGGGGTGCTGAGGGAAGCTATAGGGTCCATAGAATGGGTACGGGGGGGCCATCGGGAGAGATAGAGGGTTTGGGGGGATCTATAGGGCTTCAGGGGGCTTATAGGGGAGAGTATAGGGGCACTAGAGGAGATACAGCGGTCTGAGGGAAACTATAGGGGCTGTAGGGTGGCTATGGGGGTCTGAGAGCACCGTGTGGGTACAAGGAGCCTATAGGAGTCTGGGGGAGCAATAGGGATTTAGTAGGATGGCTATGGGAGCCTGGGGGAGCTATGGGGGCCCAAAGAGCCTGTAGGGGTCTGGGTTGGGGTACGAGAGAGCTGTAGAGTGAAGGGGATGCAGGAGCCATAGGGGCTTGTTGGCGGCGGGGGGGTGGGGGGTGGGGGGCAGGCGCTTATAGGGCTTCTCTGATGTGTGGGTGGGACTACAGGGAACCATTGGGGCCTTGCTGGGGCCGTTATGGGTTGGGCTTGGCTGTGTGGGACAGGCTTGGCTATAATGGGATACGCTTGGCCGTTGAGCACCAGGTTAACGAGGGCTCAGCCCAGCCCTGCCTGTCCTTCCCCAGGAATGAGCCGGGGGATGCGGGGGGGTGCAGCTGCTGCTCCACCCTGGCTCTGGATGTGGGCTGCGTCTCAGCTCCGTCCTCACAGTGGAAATAAAATTGATAAAATCGATGCTGGGAGCTGAGCCCTTTCCCTTCCCATCCTCATCTCCGTTCCCACCTGTATTTGCATTTCCCTTCCTACTCTTGTTCCCATCCCCGTCCCCGTTCTTGTTCCTACCCCTGTTCTCCTTCCGTTCCATATCTTTATCCCCATCCCCGTTCCCTTTCCCGTCCCCGTTCCCTTTCCCATCGCTGTTCCCTTTTGCCATCCCTGTTCCCATTAGTGTCTCCATTTCCACTCCCCTCCCTTTTACTATTCACGTCCCCATTCCCCCTTCCCATTCCCACCCTTGTTCCCACAGATGTCCCCATTCTCCTCTCCTCCAGGACACCGTGGCTGTTTCCCACGGTGGCCGTGCTGTCACAGTGGGATTTGGAGGGGCCAGGAAGTGGAGGCTGAGCTGGGGGCCTGGAGCCTGCTTCTCCCACCCTCCTTCCCAATGCTGTAGCAAGGAGGAGGAGGAGGTCAGGCACATTCACACGGCCGGAGCACCCTGCCAGCTCCCAAATAGCTCCACGGGCCTTTGGAGAGCAGTTAAAAATAGCAGAGAGCTGGAAAACATGAGTGTGTGTGTCCCCCCCCCACCTCCCCACACTCTTTCTGGTTGAGGCAGGGGGCTGCTCAGCCCTGGGACCCCGGAGTGGGTGGCATTCCTGCACCTCTCAGGATGGGGGGGTGTCCCAGGCTGTCACTGTGGGTGTAGGGGTGACACTCTTGGGTGATGTTGGAGCGTTGTTTTGGGGGTGCTGGAGGTCACCTCGTGTCTATGGCCGTGCAGTTTGGCACGGGGGTGTGTAGGGAGGGAGGGTGGGGGGCTCAGTGCCGTGTGGGATGCAATGCCCAGCAGCGCAGCGCCCTGGCACAAAGCGCAATCACTGCAGCGGCTGAGGAGCGCCGGGCGCGGTCAGAGCGCAGCGCGGTGTCCCCGTGCGATGTCACAGCTCTGTGTCACTGTCACCGATGTGTGTTCCCTTCCACCCCCACCCCCCGTGCTGTGTCACCGCCCCGTGTCCCCGGGGGAGGGAGGGGGGAGCTGTGCTTAGCCGGGACCGCGAGGGCGGTGGGCGGACCGCAGCGGAGCGGTGCGGTGCGGTGCGGGCATGGCGGGGCTGTCCCTACCGGGGTTGTTCGTGCCGTGGCTCTGCCTGCAGCTGATGGGCACCGCAGCTTTCAACTTGGACGCTGCCAACACTCTGCTGAAGGACGGAACCCGGGGCAGCCTCTTCGGTTTCTCGGTGGCTTTACACCGGCAGCTCAGCCCCGAGCCGGCCAGCTGGTGAGCGGGACCCCCTTCCCCCCCTCCCCGGCTTATTAACGGGGAGCGCTGTACGGAGATGGGGTGGGATTTGGGGCTTTGTGGGGAACTGAAGGTGATCTCAGCAGTTTGCCTCCCCGCCCCATCGCCTGCGCGCAGTGCCCGGCGCGGAGATGCCCAACGCCCACCCGCGTGCCACGGGAGCCGCCGGCACCGGGGGTGGGGGGCAGGGGGGGGGGCCCGGAGCTGCAGCCGTGGGGTCCCACACCATAGCGTCCCTCAGCCGTGGGGTCCCGCACCTCGGGGTTCCTCACGCTGCCCCAACCCGGAGCGCCCCGGCTGTGGCTCCGGCGCGGTGTCACCGCCGCCCCAATCCGCCCGGCTCCGCTGCCGCCTCTCCGCATTCCTGGCGCCCGCCCCGGGGTTATTTTCGCTCCCGGTAGCGGAGTTCTTGGGCAGGTGCTTGGAGAGCTGCTGGCATCGAGTTGTGTGCCGGGAACTGAGCACGGCACCGGGAACTGAGCACGGCACCGGGCACAGCACCGGCGCCAGGAACCGGGCACTGAGCGTGGCACAGGGCTCGGCACCATACATGGCACCGTGTGCAGCATGGGCATGGCAGGGGCACCGGGCGCAGCACCAGCACCAAGAACTGGGCATGGCATCGACCACTGAGTGCGGCAGTGGGATGGGAAGCAGGCATGGAAGCAGGCATAGCACCAGGCGTGGCAGCAGCATCAGGAACAGCATCGGACACAGCATCAACAGGGAGACTGCAGCACGGCACCGGGCACTGAGCACAGCACTGGGCATGGTGCCTGCACTGGGCATGGCACAGGGCACTGAGCGTGGCACTGGGCTCGGTGCTGAGCACTGGATATGGCACCAGCACCAAGAATGGGGCGCAGCACCGGGCACTGCGTGCCAGCACCCTCGTCCACACCCCTGGCAATCCCCCTCGGGGCTGTGCTCAGCCTCCTTAGTTGGTTCCTTGGCCTGGGCACCCTGGGCACTGCCCGGTGCTGGGGGCCGCTCCCATGTCTCTTTTTGCCTCCCTCCTTTTTTGGACATGTTGCTGCTGAGTTATTTTGAGTGAATTCCAGTTTATTTTTACCAGCTCAGCTCTCCTGGGGCTCCCTTTTGTCTCGAGGCCACCGGTCTCCAGGGAGAGGCATGGGGGTGCCTGGGTGCCCCATGGCCACGGGGTTCTGCCGCTGCTGTGCTCCTGCGGGTACAGTGAGGCACGTCCCAGCATTGTCCTCACAGGACCTGGGGGGGCTGCAGGGGGGTCAGGTTGGGGGATGGGATGTGCTGAGATCTGGGCTCTGCCATGCTATGATCACAGCAGTTCTGCTGGGCTGGCACCAAGCTGGGTATGCATGCATGGTGCAGCCCGGCCAGCATGCCCCTCCCTCCACCTTCAGACCAGTGTGGGGGCCCAGGGACAGCTGTGAGGGGGTGGCAGGTCAATGGGGAGGATGCAAAGAGGAGGTCTGAGCGTGCAACGCCGGCAGCGTGCGTGCAATTCACACGCTTGTGCATGGCAGCGATCCTGGAGGGGGGTTCCCTTGCCCTGAAATGGGGTTTCCCATCCCTGCAGGCTGCTGGTGGGAGCCCCCCAGGCGCCGGCGCTGCCCAGCCAAGCGGCCAACAGGACGGGGGGGCTCTTTGCTTGCCCGCTGACCCCCGAGCCCTCCGACTGCTGGCGGGTGCCCATTGATGAGGGAGGTGAGGGGGATATACAAGTGGGGGCTCGTAGCCCTATTGTGTGGGGCAGTGGGGCTGAAGAGGGGGTGGTGAGTGGGGGGAGGCACAGGATTGATGCTGCCTATGTGTCCCTTTCAAAAAGTGGATCTGCAAAGAGAGAGCAAAGAGAACCAGTGGCTGGGGGTGAGCGTGAAGAGCCAGGGCGCTGGTGGCAAGATCGTGGTGAGCATGAGGGGGAGCGCTGCGGGGAGAGAAGGGGAAAGGGGGGTCCTGGAGCTGCACGATGCTGACCCCCCAGTGCTCAAACCCAGACCTGTGCCCATCGGTACGAAGCTCGGAACCGCGTGCAGCAGCCGCTGGAGACGAGGGATGTGATCGGGCGCTGCTTCGTGCTGAGCCAGGACCTCAGGGTGCACGACGAGCTGGATGGTGGAGAGTGGAAGTTCTGCGAGGGGCGGCCGCAGGGCCACGACCGCTTCGGGTTCTGCCAGCAGGGCTTGGCTGCAGCATTCAGCCCTGATCAGCACTATGTTCTGTTTGGGGCGCCCGGCACCTATAATTGGAAAGGTGGGTGTGGGGAGGCGTGGGGTGGATGGGTGTGCAAGAGGGTGGGTGTGCACAAGCATGGGTAGTGGGTGCGAGCATGTGAGTGCGTAGAAGTGCCCCGTGTGCCCCAGTGTGCTCTGAGTGTGTGTGAGCTGCCTGCTGCGTGCACGTGGCTGCATTCATGCTGTGCGTGCGAGGTAAGGAGCTGTGTGCAGTGCAGGCACGGCTGTGTGCATGTGGGTAAGTGCATGCACACAGAGATGCACGCTCGTGCTGCGTGTGAGCACAGAGGTGTGAGCAGGCTTTGTGAGCACGGGTGTGTGCATGCATGCAAAGGTGCACAAGCATTCACGCTGTGTGTGTGAGCAAAGGTGTGCGTGTGTGCGCCTTGTGAGCACGGCTGTGTGCACGTGGGTAAGTGCATGCACACAGAGATGCACGCTCGTGCTGCGTGTGAGCACAGAGGTGTGTGCATGCTGTGTGAGCTCACGGGGCTGTGTCCGTGTGTCCGTGCATGGCTGTGTCCATGTATCTGTGCATCGGGGTGCCCACGCAGGGGCATCTCCCGCACCCCACCTGCACCTCTCCGTGCACCCTTAGCCCGTGTGCTCCCCAGGAGGGTCCCCCCAGACCCCTCTGACCCCTCCTCGGCTCCGCAGGGAACATGCGTGTGGAGCTGCTAAACCAGAGCTCCCTCGATCTCCTGCGCTACGACGACGGCCCCTATGAAGCTGGGGGCGAGAAGGACCAGGACCCCTCGCTCATCCCTGTGCCCGCCAACAGCTACTTCGGTACGGGCATGGCGGAGCCCGGCGCGGCGTGGGGACCCCCAAGTCCTCCCTGCCCGGCTCCAGCCTGCCCAGTCTCATGCCCCAACTGATGCCCTCTCTCTTTCTCTCTCGACCCCGACGTGGGTGCAGGTTTGTTGTTTGTGACAAACATTGATAGCTCAGATCCCGACCAGCTGGTGTACAAAAGCCCAGACCCCAACGAGAAGGTGCCCGGCGCAGCGGGCGATGTGCCCCAGAATAGCTACCTGGGTTCGTACGCGTGGCAGTGCCAAGCACGCCGCGTCCCCGTGTGCCACCTCACAGCCCTGTGTGTGTGTGTGTCCCCGCCTCCTCCCTCCCCCCCTGTCTGTGCAGAGCACAGTGGAGCGGGGCTGCAGCCCCAAGCGTGCGTGCGGATCTGTGCACGGTCGGGTACGCACACACCTCTCTTTGCACGCTTCTTGCTCTGCATGCACCTCATCCACATGCATGCACAGAGCACATCTCGTGCACACCCAGCCCCTTGCACACCCCACCATGCACACGCACTGCTGTGTACCACCCCACGCCACACTTCATGCTTGGAAACGTTTTGGTCCATTTTGTGCATGTGCCCCATCCGCATTCTTCCCCCCCGCCCTCCGTGTTGGTTCCCCTTGTCCCCATCTCTGTCCCTGTGGCTGCTGATGACCTTTCCATGTTCCACTGCTGTGCTGGGGGCACTGCCAGGCTTGGGGTTGAGGTTGCCCTGGGGATGGGGGGGAGTCCCTGGAGTCCCACCTGTGCACTAAGCCTGGCATGCCCCCCCCCCCACAGCCCAGGTCTCTGTGCTTTCCCCCCCTGTGATGTTTCTGCATGTGGGGTGCATCCTGCTGGGAGGCTTAGGGGGCTGGGGAGGGGGCTGGGCAAGGCTGTGCTGTACTGCTGGGGGGATCAGGCACTGCTGCTGCTGATGGGGAATGCGGGGATTCTGCTGGGGGCTCTGCATCTGCAGCTGGGGAGGGTGAGATGGGCGCTCTGGGTCTAGCAGCTCTGTCCCCAAAATCTTCCCTTCCGGCCATGTGGGGAGGGGGCTATTCCTCGCTCACCCCTGCTTTCCCCTATGTCAGAACTGGAGGTGAACCCCCACCCCCTAAAATGCAAGGAGCACAGAGCAGGGACACTGAGGCACAAGCGAGGCCCCCATCCCCATTTTCACCCATCCAAACACCAGGGCAGACCCCACCTCGGGCAGACCTCACACCCGGCAGGCTGAGCAGAGAGAGAGAGACGGACAGATGGACGGATGGGAGGCACGGGGTGGGGGGGCTGCGGGGGTGGGGTGGGCACCGACCTCTCTCCCACCCCATTTACCCATAGGATTCTCAGTGGATTCGGGAGCGGGGCTGACGCGGCGCCGGGAGCTGAGCTTTGTCAGTGGGGCACCACGTGCCAACCACACGGGTGCTGTGGTCATCCTGCGCCGTGACAGCGCGCACCGCCTGGTGCCTGAGGCTGTGCTGACCGGAGAGCAGCTCACATCTGCCTTTGGCTACGCACTGGCAGTGCTGGACCTCAACAGCGATGGGTGCGTGCAGTGCTGTGGTGCCGTGGTGCCATGGGGTCTTGATGCCACAGTGCCTTGGTGCCGTGGAGCTTTGGTGCTGTGTTGTCTTGGTGCCATAGCACTATGGTGCCACATTGCTTTGGTACCAGGGTACCTCAATGCCAAAGTGTGTTGGTTCCATGGTGTCTTGGTGCCTTGACACCCTGGTACAATGGTGCCATGGTGTGTCAGAGCCGTGGTGCCATGGCATGTTGGTGCCATGACGTGTCAGAGCCGTGGTGTCTTGGTAACACAATGCCTTGCTGCCTCGATGCCGCTGTGATTCAGTGCTGCTGTGCCATGCTGCTTTGATGCCGTGGTGCTACAGTGCTTTGGTGCTGCGGTGCTATGGTACACCGGTGCCACCCAAGGGTGGTCCCAGAGGGTGATGCACCCACCGTGCCCACAGCTGGATGGACTTGGTGGTGGGGGCTCCCCACTTCTTCGAGCGCAAGGCTGAGATCGGGGGGGCTGCCTATGTCTACATCAACCCCGCGGGGCACTGGGATGCTGCCACCCCCCTGCGCCTCACTGGCACCCATGGCTCCATGTTTGGCATCGCCCTGGGCACAGCTGGTGACCTCAACCTGGATGGCTTTGAGGGTGAGGAGATGAGGGGGGGTAGAGGGAGGGCTCTGGTGTCCCACTTTGTGCTGCTGTGCCCTCCCTTCACTGCTCCTGCCCTCCCAGACCTGGCTGTGGGAGCCCCGTTTGATGGTGCTGGCAAGGTGTACATCTACCATGGCAGCAAGTTGGGCATCGTGGTGAAGCCGGCTCAGGTGAGTGGTATGAGGCGGGAGGGGGGGGATTGGGGTGTCACCCATTGCTCCCCACTGTTCCCAGTGTCACGGCTGTCCTCATTCCCAGGTGCTGGATGGGGAAGGCGTGGGGGTGACAACTTTTGGGTACGCGCTCTCTGGGGGGGTTGATGTGGATGGGAACCTCTACCCTGACCTGCTCGTTGGCTCCCTGTCTGACACTGTGGTGCTGTACAGGTGAGTGCCCACTGTGGGCACCTGGCCCCAAACTGGTCACCCCCATCCCTGAGCATCCCCTCACTGCAACCCTGAGCATCCCCCATCCCTGAGCACCCCTCACTCTAACTCTAACCCACCCCCCGCCCCCAAGTATCCTCACCCCAAGGTCCCATCATCCCCTCTCCCCTGGTGCACTCCCTGAACCAGAGGTCCCCAGTTGCAGCCGGGGGTCCCCACTTGCAGGGCGCAGGTGCTGAGGCTGTGACCGGGGGTCTGCCTCCCACCCAGCACCCCTATGCTCCCCCCGCAGAGCCCGTCCAGTGGTCTACATCTCCCGGAACGTCTCCCTGCTCCCTGCCAACATCGACCTGGAGCAGAGCAACTGCCAGCACCAGGAGGGCATCTGGTGGGTGCCACCCATCCCTCAGCCCCACACTGCAGCTGGAGGGGTCAGCGCTCCCTTATCTCACCCCCCTACCTTCCCCCCGTCCCACATCTCCACAGCGTGGATGTCCAAGCATGCTTCAGCTATACGGCCACCCCTGCCAGCTACAGCCCCCCCCCTGGGTAAGCACACACAGGGATAGGGAACAGGGATCCCTGGGTTGGCGGGGGGGACCCCAACACAGCCCCTTCCCTCTCCCACCAGTGCTGGAATACGTGCTTGATGCCGACACGGAGCGCCGACGGTTGGGTCACCCCCCCCGTGTCACCTTCCTGGGCCGTCGGCCCTCGGATCCTGAGCATCAGTTCTCCCACACTGTGGAGCTGCCCCAGCAGCACGCACGCACCTGCACCACTGCCACCTTCCAGCTCCAGGTGAGTGCCTGTTATCCCCATTGCCACCTTGTCCCACTCATCCTTGCCGTTATCCCCATCCTATCTGCATCCCCATTGTCCCATCCCTATCCCTGTTCCCATTCCTATCCCGTTCCCATCCTGTCTCCATCTCCATACTCACCCCCATTCCCATCCTGCATCCCTCCTCACCTTTGCAGGACAGCATCCGTGACAAACTGCGCCCCATCGCCGTCACCCTTGCCTATGGCATCCAGGGGGCTGGGACACCACGGCGCAGTCGGAGTGCCACCCTGCCTCCCGTGCCCCCTGTGCTCAGCCCACAGCAACCCAGCAGCCACCGCACCGAGGTGAGGGGCCGGCTATAGGGCCGGCTATGGGGCCAGCTCCAGGCGTTCCATCCAATGCTTTTCCCTTTGCAGGTGCACTTTCTGAAACAGGGCTGCGGGGACGACAAGATCTGCCAGAGCAACCTGCAGCTGCGCTTCCAGTTCTGCACCCGCCTGGGAGACGCTGATTTCCTGCCCCTACCCAAGTGAGCGTTGTCCCCACACTGTCCCCATCCCACAAGGCACGGGGAGCTCACAGGGGCTGTCACAGGGGTGAGGATGGCACCGCTATCTTCGCCATGAGCGACCAGAAGGACGTGGCCCTGGAGATCCATGTCACCAACATGCCCTCGGACCCCACGGAGCCGCAGCGGGATGGGGATGATGCCCACGAAGCTGTGCTCACTGCCCGCTTCCCCCAGGAGCTGCCCTACTCCGCCGTGCGACCCTACGATGGCCGCACAGCACCGGTGTGGGATGGGGAGAGGAGTGGGGCCTGGGGGTGTGGAGGGGTGGAGGGGTGGGGGTGATCCTGGGGTGTGAGGGGTTGGGATGGATGCAGGGCTATGGATGGGTGGGAGGGTGGGGGGTACGGGGATGGGGCTGGTTCCAGGGGTGCTGGGTTCAGGGATGGGGCTGGATCTGGAGGGCCTGGGCTTGGGGATGGGGCAATGAGGCTGGATCTGGGGGTGCTGGGTTTGGGATGATGCTGTTTCTGGGAGTGCTGTATTTGGGGATGGGGCTGGTTCAGGAGGTCTGGGTTTTGAGATAGGGCTGGTTCTGGGGATGCTGGGTTTTAGGATGGGGCCGGTTTTGGGGGTACTGGGAATGGGCTGGTTCTGGGGGTCCCAGAAATGCTGGGGTTTGGACAGAGGGGGTTGCAGGAATTCTGGGAGATCTGCTAGGATTTGGGATGGGGTTGATCCTGGGGATCTCAGGCATGCTGGGTTTTGTGATGGGGCCGGGTCTTGGGGTGCCGGTGTTTGGAATGGGGCTGGACCAAGGGGTCCCAGGGATGCTGTTTTTTTCCTGAGGGTTCCAGGGTGCTGGGGTTTGTGGTGCAGCTGATTCTGGAGGGCTGGTGTTTGGGGGAGGGGAGGTCCTGGGGTTCTTGGGTTTCTGAGGTGTCTGGGTTTGGTATGAAGTTGGTACAGCACGTCTTGGAGATGCTGGGATCTGGGACAGGGCTGGTCTTCGGGATTCTGTGGTTCTGGTTTTGGGATAGGGTTGGTCCTGGCAGCCTCAGGGATGCCGTATTTTGGGACAGGGCTGGTTCTGGGGCGCAGAAGTTTGGGGTGGGGATGGGGCTGGTTCTGGGTATCCCAGGGATGCTGGGGTTTGGGATGAGGTTGGTCCTTGAGGGCACAGGGTTGGCTGAGCTTCAGGACAGAGCAGGTTTCAGGGATTCTGGGGCCGCTTAGGCTCTGGGATGGGGCTGGTTCCAGGGGTCTCTGGGGTACTGGACTTTGAGATGGCTCTCTGCCCCCAGGACAAGCCAGTGGTGTGCCTTGCCAACCAGAACGGCTCGCAGGTGGAGTGTGAGCTGGGGAACCCCATGAAACGTGGAGCCCAGGTGAGTGCGCCCCCCAAAACCTCTGTCCAACCCCCCCAGCTTTGACCCCAACCTTCACCCTGCGTCCTCCAGGTGCGCTTCTACCTTATCCTCAGCACTCTGGGCATCACCCTGCAGACCACCGACCTGGCAGTGGAGCTGGCCCTGTCCACGTGAGCCGCACTGGAGGGGGGGGGGAAGGAGGGGGTTTGAGAGGCTCTGCGATGCCCCCCACCCCAACTCCTTTGTTGTCCCCAGGATCAGCGAGCAGCCAACCCTGGAGCCGGTGGTGGCCCGGGCGCGTGTGGTCATCGAGCTGCCCCTCTCAGTGACGGGGTGAGTGGAAATGGGGTGGGGGGCTGCAATCCCCCCCCCTCCCAGGGCTGCACTGACCCTGCTGTCCCCGCAGCGTGGCGGTGCCTCCCCGGCTCTTCTTTGGGGGGACAGTGAGGGGTGAGAGCGCGGTGCGGCGCGAGAGCCAGGTGGGCAGCGCTGTGCTCTTCGAGGTGACGGTGAGTGGGGTGCGCCGGGGGGGCCCAGCCCTATATGAGCAACCCCACGGATCCCCTGGTGATGCATCACCCTACAGGTGTCCAACCGGGGCCCGTCGCTGAAGACGTTAGGCTCAGCCTTCCTCAACCTGCTGTGGCCACACGAGCTCAGCAATGGGAAGTGGCTGCTTTACCCGCTGCAGCTGGAGCTGCTGGCTGCACCGGGACTGCAGACAGTGTGCAGCCCTGCTGCCAATCCCCTGCGCCTGGCGTTGGTATATGGGGGAGCTGAGGGTGGTGGGGATGGGGCTGGCAGGCAGCCCAACCCACGCGTGTCTTTATCATCCAGGAGCCACCGGGAGAGGCTGAGGTCACCGAGGAGCCTGCTGTGGAGTCCTGGTGGGTGCCAGCGCCCGCTGAAAGGAGGAGGAACGTCACGCTGGTGAGTGGGGCTGCGGTGCTGCCATCCCCGGGGTGCTCCCTTCCTGAGGTGCTCCCATCTCTGGGAGCACTGCTGGGATTCTCCAACTCCTAGGGTGTTCCCATCCCTGAGGCTTTCCCATCCCCGGCGTGCTCCTGTCCCTGGGGTGCTCCTACTGCTGTGGGATCTCCATTCCTAGGATTGGGTTCCCAGTGCTGGGATTTTCCCACTCTTGGGATATTTCTATCCCTGGTACACTCTCACTCTTGGATTTTTTTCCATCCCTGGGGTGCTGTCATTCCTAATCTGCTCCTGTTGCTGGGATTCTCCCACTCTCGGGTATTCCCATCCTTGGCTTACTCTCACTTTTGGGATTTTCTCATTCCTGGGTCATTCACTTTCCTGGGCTGCTCCCATTGCTGGGATTCGCCCATCTCTGGGCTTTTTTCCATCCCTGGGGTGCTCCAACTCCTGTGGTGTGCAGCCATGCTGTGACCCCCCTCCACCCCTCCATCCCACAGGACTGTGCCCAGGGCACTGCGCGCTGCATGGCGTTCCGCTGCCCCCTCTACAGCTTCGAGCGCGCTGCTGTGCTGACTGCACGCGGGCGGCTCTGGAACAGCACCTTCCTGGAGGTAGGACAGAGACAGGGATGAATCTTTGGGGCCATGCAGGGCTTCACCCCATCCCACGCTCCATCCCACGCCCCACTGCTGCAGGAATACCTGGCCGTCACTTCGGTGGAGCTGATTGTGCGCGCCAGCGTCTCGGTGACCTCTTCCATCAAGAACCTGGTGCTGAAGGACGCTTCCACGCAGGTCTGGCCCTGTGCCCCCATTCCTGTCCCCTACCCCCTCCCTGCAGCCCTCTGACCGGTGCTGCCGTCACCAGATCCCTGTCACCATCTACCTGGACCCCGGCGTGGCGGTGGCTGGCGGTGTGCCCTGGTGGGTCATCCTGCTGGCTGTGCTGGCCGGCATCCTGGTTCTGGCACTGCTGATCTTCATCCTCTGGAAGGTGAGCGATGGGGTGAGGTCAGGATATGTCCCCTCCCTGGCTGTCCTGTGCCATGCTGTGCCACCCGACCTGAGCTATGCTCTGCTATTTTGGCCACGCTGTGCCGTGCAGTGCCGTGCTGTGCCATCCCCGTTTTGCCATGCCATGTCATGCCACGCTTTTGGCCCACTACAGTGCCACGTTGTGCCGCGCAGCGCTGTGCCACGCTGTAGGATCACTGCGTTGCCAAGCCCTGTGGTGCCATGCCGTGCTGCCCCCCCCCAGCTGGCCGTGCCCTTCCTCACCTTCTCACTTCCCTCCTCAGTGCGGCTTCTTCAAGCGGAGCAGCCCAACCTCCCGCTACACTGCTAATTATTACCGGGCACGTCGGGGGCTGCAGCCCTCAGAGGTGGACAAACAGGCGCTGCAGGGCCAGCGGTAACACGGGGCTGCTCCCACCCCGGGCCGCCAGCAACCAGCACGGGTGTGCACGAGTGTGCTGCCTCCTGCACGCGTGTGTGAGGGCATGCAGTGTGCCCAGGCGGAGCGACAAGGGCTTGCAGGCTCTGCTTGCAGTTGTGCAAGGGTTTGCAGCAGTAGGGTGGGAAGAGAAGGGGTTTCAGCGTTGGGGATAGCGGGTTTGCGTTGCTGCTGTGTTGTTGTGCAAGGGTTTGCTGTGTGGTTGTGCAGGGGTTTGCAGTGCTGGTGCATGGGTGGGTGAAGGTTTGCAGTGCCAGTGTGTGGTTGTGCCAGGGTTTGCAGCGTCAGGGTGGATGGAGGAGGGTCTGCAGACACAGGGCAGCAGGACATGTGAGGGTTTGCAGTGCTGGTGCATGGCTGTGCCGAAGTTTGCAGCATCAGGGTGGATGGAGGAAGGTCTGCAGACTCAGGGCAGCAGGACGTGTGAGAGCTTGCAGTGTGTGGTGCACGGTTGCACCAGGGTTTGCAATGCCAAGCCAGGACGTGCAAGGATTTGCAGCACCAGCACTTGGACGTGCAAGGGCTGGTGCAGCACTAGTGTAAAGCGCTGCCCTGTGCCACAGAGGGACTGGTGGGCACAAAGCTGTGGTCAGATGGGGCCCACACCCAAACCCAGCTGGCCATGTGCTGCCTTATGGCCAAGCTGTGGCCCTGATGCCGTCGCCGTGGTGCTGACCCGCTGCTCCCCGCAGTTGGGCTTCTTCCGCCGGGCACGCTACGTGCCGCCGGCCGTGCCACAGTACCACGCTGTGAAGATCCCACGGGAGGAGAGGCAGCAGTTCCGCGAGGAGAAGATGGGCACCATCCAGAGGAAGGAGTGGGCTGTGAACTGGAGCGAGCCCAGCGATGGGCACGTCACCCCCAGCTCAGCATAACCCCAGGGACACCGATCATGCTGCTGGACCGCAGGGGGCTGCTGCATGCGGGACCCCCCCTCTGCTGCTGGCCATGCCCTGAGGAAGGACCCTCTGGTGACATTTGGGGATGCACACATACGTGTTGCTGTGCACGCCCGCCCTGACCGGGCACACTCAGAATTGCTTGCAGTGGGACAGGACCGCAGGGACAGCTCGGCTCCAGGGCATGGCTCGTCCCCAAAGGGATGGCACAGCCCCACAGCTCAGCCCTACAGACTCAACCCCATTGCACGGGGATGGCTCTGCCCCCAGAGGCTGGCTTGTCCCCAAAGGGCACAAGGACAACTCAGCCCTAAGGGATGGCCCTGCCCTATAAGCATGGCTCTGCACCAAGGTGGTGGCTTGTCCCAGAGGGTCAGCTCAGCTCCATTGAACAGGGCATGTCCCCCAGGGGATGGCACTTCTCCAAAGTGATGGCTTTTCCTCAAAGGGTACAGAGACTCAGCCCTATAGGTAGAGCCCCATCCTACGAGCATGGCTTTAACCCTAAGTGATGGCTCCTAAAGGGCCAGCTCAGCTCCACAGTACAGAGCTTGTCTCCAAGGTGCTGGCACGGCCACACAGGGCTGGCTTGCCCCTAAAGGGACAGATTGTCCCCCCAAAGGACAGCTGTGCCCTACTGGGACAGCTCAACCCCCCAGGACCCTATGGGCCTGGCTCTGCCCTATTGGGCTGGCACATCCCTACGGTGCTGCCATATCCCCCAAGGGCTCCTCAGCCCTAAACTGCTGCCTGTGCCCCCCTAGGAACAGCCCAGCCCCACGGCAGTGGCTCAGCCCCACGGCAGTGGCTCAGCCCCACAGGGACACCTCACCCCCCACGCAAGTGCCGCTCTTCCCAATAAAAGGAGAAGCCCCCACGGTGCCAGCCTCGTTTCTTGCAGCTCGGACATGATGGGCGCGGCCCTGCGGCCATTTCCGTGCGCGGGCGGGATCGTGGGTGCGGGGTCAACGGTGGCACTCCCTACCCCGCCCCCTTCCTTGTCCTCATCCCCATCTCTGCCCTCCGGTGGGCTCCGGTCGCCCCCATGCCCGCAATGACTCGGGCACACCTCCGCCCTCAACCAAGATGGCGCCGCAAGATGTCGCAGAGTCAGTGACGTCAGAGGAGCTTCCGGTGGCGCCCGGAAGTAGTTATCCATGGCGGCTTCCCGGCGGACGCCGTCGAGGGGATGGTGAGGCCGCGGTGGGGCCCGGGGAAGCTGAGGTCCCCAACGGGGGCCCCGTAACGGGCGCAGGACCGCTCCGGAGCGCTCCTCTGATGGCGTCGGGTGCGGCGAGTCGCTCCGAGGACGAGGAGCCGCTGGCGGGGCCGAAACGGGGCTCGGCCCAGGCTTCTGGAGCCGTCCCGAAGCGCCGCAGCTCTTCACGGTACGGGGGATGGGGGTGAGGGTGTGTGGGGGGGGAGAGATAGGGGGACGGGGCCCATCGCTGCTTCCTTCGGCCCAGGTTCATCAAGCGGAAGAAGTTCGACGATGAGTTGGTAGAGAGCAGCTTGGCCAAGTCCTCCAGCCGAGCCAAGGGGGGCGTGGAGCCGGGGCGCTGCTCGGGCAGTGAGCCGTCCTCCAGCGAGAAGAAGAAGGTGAGGGGTGGGAAGGCTGGGGGGGGGGCAAGAGGGGATGGTAGGGGGCTCTGACGGACCCCACTGTCCCTTTGGGGTGACCCCCCACCACCTTTCAGAGTGGAGACCCTCAGTGCTCCCCAGGGAGACTCGCTGTCCCTTGAGGAGGAGGCGCTGTCAGGGGGACCCCACAGTTCCTCAGGGAGGGGACCCCCTCCATTCCTCAGGAGGATCCCCAGTGCCCTCAGGGAGACCCCTCCCCACCCTCTCCTTTGATGTCACTCCATTTCCCCTTGAGGTGACCCTTCCACCCCTCACTGTCTCCCCAGGTCTCAAAGTCTGTGTCCACCCCTGTGGCGCCCAGCCCCGTCCCGGCCCCCAGCCTTGCCAAGCGGATGAAGAAGAGCAAACAGCCCCTGCAGGTGACCAAGGACCTGGGCCGCTGGAAGCCTGCTGATGACCTCCTGCTTATCAATGCTGTGCTGCAGGTCTGACCCTTCCCCCCCCCCCAAAGCCCTAGATCCAACCCCCATGGCCCCAGGGCTCACTGTGTTCTGGGGGCTCTTGCTGTGGTGGTATTTGTAGCTTTTCTTTCATCTGAGGGCTTTTCCAGACCAACGACCTCACGTCTGTGCACCTGGGTGTGAAGTTCAGCTGCCGTTTCAACCTGCGGGAGATCCAGGAGCGCTGGTACGCGCTGCTCTACGACCCCATCATCTCCAAGTGAGTGTAGGACTGGTGCTGGAGGGCAGAGCTGCCCTCAGAGGGGGTTCTCATGCCGCATTCCCCTCAGGTTGGCCTGCCAGGCCATGCGCCAGCTGCACCCTGAGGCCATCGCTGCCATCCAGAGCAAGGTGCTGTTCAGCAAAGCTGAGGAGCAGCTGCTGAACAAAGTGGGATCGGTAAGAGCCTGGGGGGCCAGGGCTTGTTTTAGGAAGGGCTTCATGCTTGCATCTGCTTTTCCGTGGGCATCCTCTGTGCCACGTGTCCTTTGTCCTCTCTGCAGATGAGCCAGCCCACACTTGACACCTTCCAGGAGCTTCTCCACAAGCACCCCGATGTCTTCTACCCCTCCAGGACAGCCAAGGCCCTGCAGCTGCACTGGCAGCTCATGAAGCAGTACTACCTTCTGGATGACCAAACCGGTGAGCCCAGCTCCCCTCCCCGTGCCTCCTGTGTCTCCCTCTCTGTGTGTCCCCACCTGTGCACTCCCTTCCCTCCTGCTCTTTCCAGTGCAGCCGCTCCCCAAGGGGGACCAAGTGCTCAATTTCTCGGATGCTGAGGACATGCTGGATGACAGCAAACTGAAGTGAGGTTTGGGGGGAGCCCTGAAGGGGGGGGAGGCAGGGGATGCTCCAGATGGTATTCTCTGATCCTCCTCCTCCTCTGCAGGGATGTGCGGGATGATGTGCTGGAGCATGGTGAGTTCAGCCTGCACCCCACTGCACAGGGGAATCCGAGCAGTCTGACTTGGTGGGGGGTGGGGGTGTGTTCCCCTCTCACTCTTTTCTTTCCCCTTCTTCCAGAGCTGACTGTGGCCGACCGCCGCCAGAAACGGGAGATCCGGCAGCTGGAGCAGGAGCTGCACAAGTGGCAGGTGTTAGTTGACAGCATCACAGGTGAGAGTTGAGTGCAGGAGGCTGTCTGACTGTCCGTCTGTCCTTCCTTTCATCAGCCCTCCTCTCTGCTTCTCCCTTCAGGCATGAACTCCCCAGACTTTGACAGCCAGACGCTGGCCGTGCTGCGGGGCCGCATGGTGCGGTATCTCATGCGCTCTCGAGAGGTGAGGGGGGGGCTGAGGCCCCCAGCAGAGCTCTGCTCACCCCAGTGAGCTCCTCCAGCCTTCTTATGCTCCCCTTTCTTCAGATCACACTGGGCAGAGCCACGAAGGACAACCAGATTGATGTGGACCTGGCGCTGGAGGGACCGGCCTGGAAGATCTCTCGCAAGCAGGGTAGGGAGCAGGGCTGGGCGGGTTTGGGGGAACTCAAGGGCACAGCAGCTGTGCTCCCCTCCCCCCTGCATTGCCCCCCCAAGGCGTCATCAAGCTGAAGAACAATGGGGACTTCTTCATCGCTAACGAGGGCCGGCGCCCCATTTACATCGATGGCCGTCCTGTGCTTGGTGGCAACAAGTGGAAGCTCAACAACAATTCTGTGGTGGAGGTGAGCGTGGGGGGTGGCGAGGGCTCTCAGGGCCATAGGAGGGGTCCAGTCCTGCTCACCTCCCCCCTTTACCTGCAGATTGCCAGCCTCCGCTTCGTCTTCCTCATCAACCAGGACCTGATCACGCTCATCAAGACGGAGGCGGCCAAGATGGCCCAGCAGTGAGGAGGGGGGGCTGCTCTGCTACGTCCCCCCCAGCCTTACAAGGAGAGAGGGGGGGAGGTGTTCCTGGCTCCCCTCAGCTGGAGGGGGGTGGGCCTTTCCCTCCCCTGGCCCCTGGCTTGTGGGCCTGCAAATAAAAGTGTTTTACCCTCACACCTGTGGCTCGTGGGAAGGGAGGGGAGGTAAATGGACACACAAGACCCTGAGCTGTGGGGGCAATATTTTGAAAGTCCTTTATTGGTAAAGGCAGAGTTGCTGTACTCACATGTCCCATTGAAGCAGCAGCTGATGGTATCCAGGAATGTGTTTTGCAGAGCCAAAAGAACCTCATTTGCTGCATCCCCCCAACCCTCCTCCTGCTCCCCCCAAGGATTAACCCTGCCCTCCTGCTGCCTTCCTGGGAGGACCTGATCCTTTCCCCCACTGCACCCTAAACTGCTGGCTGGTGGAGGCAGCAAGGAACAGAGAGCATTAATTAATGGACAGTACTAACGAACACGAACATCGCCTTTTATTCGGACAATGCTAAGTAACGGCCATCACCGCTTGGTAGCAGCTAGGATTAGCTCTGCTAATTGATATTGCTCTTTAATTTAGGGTGGGTCTGGACAGAGAGGGAGGTGAATTGAACAAAGAGTTTTCCCCTCTACATAAACCAGACAAGAACACGCTGTGCAGTGTGCACAGGGTCCTGCTGGCACAACGCTGGGGGCTTAGCCCTCACAAACCCCTCCTGGCTCCTTCAAATTGCCCCCTGCTCCCATTTTGCAGCACTTGTCCTCGTTGCCAGCACGAGGGCTGGGCTGTCCTGGGGTCGTTCCTTCAATGTGAGACCCCAGGGTCAGGGCAGAGTGGGGACAGAGAGGCTGGGGGCTGCGTTTGGGCCCCTTCTGCCTACAGTGACATCAGAGCCATGGAGATTTTCTAGAGGGGAAAGAAAAAGGCAACAGTGACAGCAGCAAAGGGGCCCCGAGCCCGGGTGGAGGTGCAGTAGGTGAGAGAAGAACACAAAGCAGACGTCAGAGAAAGAGAAGGAAAGAAAAAAAAATAATAATGGCACAAGAACTGAGAAGTGTAAACTTTCCTTTGTTAATATCTCTAGCTAGGAGCTTCCTACAGTCTCGTCCCCTTAGGGCAGAAGTGGGGAAACCTCAGGAGCTGGCTCCCTCCTGGCGGCTGGCGCGGGGCTTGCGCTGCGGGAGCCCTTTGCTGTGCGTGGCAGCAGCTCCGGCCGCAGCTCCGGGCTCCGGGGGCTGCACTTGGTGGGGGCTGCCCGGGCTGCTCTGGTGCCGGCCAAGTGCCGGAGCTGCTCCGCCGCGGTGCCGGGGGCCGCCGGACCGCCTGGCCGGGGGAGGAGCGGCGTGGGACTGCGGCCGGGAGCCCGGTGGTGCCGGTGGTCCCGATCGCCTGTTCCCTGGGGCAGCCTGGAAGAGAAAGAGAGAGGAGAGGAACAGATCCCACGCTGAGGGCTGCGGCCGCCCGCTGACGCAGCGCCGAGGCGACGCGTTTCGCGCAACGCTCCTCCTCCGAGTCGGGGAAGAGAAAAAGCCCAAACGCGGTGCGAATCAGAACCCAGAGGCTGCGCGCCCTCAGACCTCTCCTGCTCCTCGGGGAACTTGGAAACCCAAAAGCTCACGGGAAACAGATGGCAGAGGCACCTCACTGCTCCCCAGAGAGGTGGGAAAACCAAACCACCCAAACCTGATGTGAAGCGGAGCTTGGGAAGTGTGTGCCCTCCTACCACTCCCCAGAGTTTGGAAATCACAAATGCCAGTATCTGAGGTGAAGCAGAACCTGCAGGCTATGAACCCCGTGCCTCTCACTACCCAGAGAGTTTGGAATACAGAAACCCCAACAGAAAAGTGAGGCAGAGCCTGGAGATGGAGCGCTCTCACACTCACCCCATCCTCAGAGAAAGCAAAACCTCTGAGGTCTCGCATGATGCAGAGCCCACAGTTTACACCA